TCAGTCACATGTCAGCATCCCCTGCTGATCCGTTTCGTCCTTTGACAGTCCAGAGCAACAAGCCCCCAGCTGACAGAGGCCTCCATTTGGCACTTTTTTCAAAGAAGAAAAAAAAAACTTGAGAACATGTAAAGGTTGTGGGTGTACCGTCTGACACAAACAAGGCCAACAGGCAGAGAAATCTGTCATGTTGACGTGTCTGAGCGCTTCACTTAACAATGAACCACCGGCAAACTTTTTTTTCCTAGTACAACTTCTTGGGGAGATAATCGGCACTCCATCCGCGGCTGAGGTTCCCACTCATCCATCACCTCCCAATGCTATGTTCCTGACGAACAGAAAAAAACTGACTGCAGGCTAACAATCTTTCACTCCAGCTTGCATACAACTGAGCTAAGGTGAAAGCAATGGCCTTTCGCTGAATTACCTTCCCTTTAATCAATGACACGGTGTCTGAGAAAATATCTCCAGGAGAATGGCGAGCGGACTCCATATCCATCATGCACGTCCGTGATGGCACTAATGGATGACCTAAATGCATCACTGTGTCACAAATCATCTGACATTCATCAAAATGTAGAAGGAATATAAATAAAAGGACAAATGAAAGCAAAACTATGAGGATGAATTATCATCTCATCTGAGGCAGAGACGAGAAAGGAAGAGATCTTATTACTTTGGGGTTGTTTCTTTCTTTAAGCGAAACACGCTAAAACACATTTTTTGTTTTACCCTTAAGACTAAAAAGAGTGCATGAATCTCTGGAAGTAACTCTTGAGACATAAAGCCAAAATTATTGGACAGAAAGAAGCATTTCCTTTTCTTAACGGGAGAAAAAGGCTGCCAAAGTTTTCAGTGTTGGACCGGTTGTGCTTTGGGCAAATGTTTCATTTCAGTTCAGGGATGAACACGCTGTGGATTCAACCTTGAGCAGAAGTCACACTGACAAGCCGTGGGAAAAAGACGTGTCAGGACATCTCAGTTTTACTCACTTCATTGGAAAGTATAGAAATAAAATATAAGACATGAATGTATATACAGGAGTCTGCAGGTATGACAGACTGAGAGGAATAATCAGTCATTTTAAACTATAGTGATCACCTGATCAGGACCAACCGGAGTCAAACATGAAAAGCTGCAGTCTAAGCTGTTGTTGATCCTTTCAGAGCTGTAGCCAGGATTTTAGAATCACTGATGCCCCACACAACCCCAACGAAAGTTCTTACCAGACAACAACAGTGAAGTTTTTATATTTTTTGAACTCTTTGGATTTACCATGTTTTATTCATGAGTTAAGAGTTGGAATCTCTTTTCTGTAAATATTATACTGTGTTTCAAAGCCTTCTACATAATGCCAGCAGTGAGATCTTAGAGAAAAAATACTAACACATGTATTCATTTATTTGTCTGATTTAACAGTATCTCTTGTTAAAGGTTTACTGTGCAGGAATTGTCAACTACTGTTTGTTAACAGTAACAGCAGCAAAAGTGAGAGCCTAACCCAGATTTACTCTCATTTGCTATATTTGTGGGGGGTTTTGGCACCTTGTCCGTGATTTTCAAAGTTTTCTCTTAGATGCGTGCTGCTTGCAGTCTGGCACCTGGTTGTTATGTTTTTGAAAAGTCTCGACCTTGTCTGCACGCTGTGCTGAGGAACATCAGAGACACAGCAAAATACAAGCAAAGAGAAGATAAAAACAGCGCCACACACTTCTCCAGGGTCAAAAGTGATGAACAAAAGGGATTTCGTTTGTACTAGTCGATATACATAGTATAGTACAGTACAGGCCAAAAGTTTGGACACACCTTCTCATTCAATGCGTTTTCTTTATTTTCATTACTATTTACATTGTAGATTCTCACTGAAGGCATCAAAACTATGAATGAACACATGTGGAGTTATGTACTTAACAAAAAAAGGTGAAATAACTGAAAACATGTTTTATATTCTAGTTTCTTCAAAATAGCCACCCTTTGCTCTGATTACTGCTTTGCACACTCTTGGCATTCTCTCCATGAGCTTCAAGAGGTAGTCACCTGAAATGGTTTTCCAACAGTCTTGAAGGAGTTCCCAGAGGTGTTTAGCACTTGTTGGCCCCTTTGCCTTCACTCTGCGGTCCAGCTCACCCCAAACCATCTGGATTGGGTTCAGGTCCGGTGACTGTGGAGGCCAGGTCATCTGCCGCAGCACTCCATCACTCTCCTTCTTGGTCAAATAGCCCTTACACAGCCTGGAGGTGTGTTTGGGGTCATTGTCCTGTTGAAAAATAAATGATCGTCCAACTAAACGCAAACCGGATGGGATGGCATGTCGCTGCAGGATGCTGTGGTAGCCATGCTGGTTCAGTGTGCCTTCAATTTTGAATAAATCCCCAACAGTGTCACCAGCAAAACACCCCCACACCATCACAACTCCTCCTCCATGCTTCACAGTGGGAACCAGGCATGTGGAATCCATCCGTTCACCTTTTCTGTGTCTCACAAAGACACGGCGGTTGGAACCAAAGATCTCAAATTTGGACTCATCAGACCAAAGCACAGATTTCCATTGGTCTAATGTCCATTCCTTGTGTTTCTTGGCCCAAACAAATCTCTTCTGCTTGTTGCCTCTCCTTAGCAGTGGTTTCCTAGCAGCTATTTGACCATGAAGGCCTGATTGGCGCAGTCTCCTCTTAACAGTTGTTCTAGAGATGGGTCTGCTGCTAGAACTCTGTGTGGCATTCATCTGGTCTCTGATCTGAGCTGCTGTTAACTTGCCATTTCTGAGGCTGGTGACTCGGATGAACTTATCCTCAGAAGCAGAGGTGACTCTTGGTCTTCCTTTCCTGGGTCGGTCCTCATGTGTGCCAGTTTGGTTGTAGCGCTTGATGGTTTTTGCGACTCCACTTGGGGACACATTTAAAGTTTTTGCAATTTTCCGGACTGACTGACCTTCATTTCTTAAAGTAATGATGGCCACTTGTTTTTCTTTAGTTAGCTGATTGGTTCTTGCCATAATATGAATTTTAACAGTTGTCCAATAGGGCTGTCGGCTGTGTATTAACCTGACTTCTGCACAACACAACTGATGGTCCCAACCCCATTGATAAAGCAAGAAATTCCACTAATTAACCCTGATAAGGCACACCTGTGAAGTGGAAACCATTTCAGGTGACTACCTCTTGAAGCTCATGGAGAGAATGCCAAGAGTGTGCAAAGCAGTAATCAGAGCAAAGGGTGGCTATTTTGAAGAAACTAGAATATAAAACATGTTTTCAGTTATTTCACCTTTTTTTGTTAAGTACATAACTCCACATGTGTTCATTCATAGTTTTGATGCCTTCAGTGAGAATCTACAATGTAAATAGTCATGAAAATAAAGAAAACGCATTGAATGAGAAGGTGTGTCCAAACTTTTGGCCTGTACTGTATATCTTTAAGGTAAGTGCTCAAGCAGACACTTACATTTAATGCTTTTTATGACCTTTTCAAGATCTTTTCTTTTGTTTAAATCCAAATATAAGACCAGGTTTGGGACAAATGTTCTCTTTCTTATTCAAGCCCTGCAGGTACATATAAAGGTGTATATATAAACAGTCTGTATTAGGTTTCAGAGGTAGGTTTGCAGATTTGTAATATCAGAAATGTTGATTTTCACACAGAAGAGCTTGACTCATTTTTAAAAAAAAAATAAATCAAAAGATGGATAAATTAAATTTGAAATGTTAAATAAATGAAATGTTTGAGACAATTAAGACCTCACAAATTTAAATTCAAGACTTTTTAATTGCTTTTTTAGGACATTTTAAGACTTTTAAAGGACCTGCAGACATCCTGTCTGTTTTCAGTAAATATTATTTCCCCACATGACAGCTTTAATTGTGTTTTAAACCCTTCTGTGCAAGAACTGCTAAAACATTTATATGTTTACTTGGCTGATTTAGCAATTTCTTGTTTAATTTAACTACTAATATTTGTTGTTTAATTGGTATAATTTGACATGATATGCATGACTCAATACAAACAACTTGCTTCATTCATTTTCTCATTTGTTTGTTGCGCTATATTGTCGACATAGTAACCTAAAAGTAACTGACAACAACCCTAAACCAGTCACTTCCTATTGAGCCTCACCAGATGACACTGTACAAAAAATCTTGTGCTATAATCTAAACCTTAGAGGGATACTTTGCTAATTTTCAACCAGCTTTGTATCACAACAATGTGGGTAGTATGTGTAAATGAAATGTGGTAAACTTCCCTCCATCTAATCAGTGCCTAGATATCCCTCCTCGTCCCCTTGCAAAAGTGTTACTGGCTCTCAAGCTGTTGCTCAAGCTACAGTATGGAAGATGAAGAATGCAGAAGACATCAAGAGACTGACCTGCTCCCCTCTGTCTCTCTCTCAAATTCGGACCAAAATCCTATCAAACAATAAAACTAGTCTGTGCTGATCAAATATATATCAAGAATATGTTAGTGTATTGCCTATTTTTCGCCTACAATGTTAATAGAAACATATTTTAGTTCTGTGTTTAGCGCGAATTGCAAGTTCATGAATGTTAAGTGTGTGCCAATCTGTTTCCTGCACGGTGAAAATGGAGGCCAAACAAACTGAGGTCAAACGGTAAAACTAAGCAACGCTGATCAAATATAAACCATGATTCTGTTACTACGTTGCCGGTTTCTCACCTCAAATGTTTTCAAAAACATGTTTTAGCTTACTGTTTAACTGCAATAAGAGATTGTCTCTCATCAATGTTCCAAACAGACATGTTCATATTTACGTCACCCACCAGCAGGAGTGTTTATTGGTCTGGTGCGGGTAGGTTTTCTACCTCTTAAGCAAACGTATCCTCTGTTTTCCCTGGTTCTGTAGCACCGATTTAAAAAGTATGTGCGTCTTTCTGCATGAACAGCCTAGTTTTTTTAAAGGTCATCTCTCCAGCAGTGAAATAAGTCTTTAATCAGGACAAGCATGCAATGAGTGACCTTTGACCTTCAGAGGACAGAGGCTGTACCTGAGCGTCCACGAGCAGGTGTCTCATCAGAGTCATGGACTTCTTCAAGGTGTCCCTCTCTCCTGGCACGAAGGCCTCCTCCTCACAAGGCAGGTTACAAGGTCTGGTCACCATGAATTGAGCAATCTGGTCATTCAGGCTGTTGAGAGACTGGACCGCTGCAAAAGAGCCAAAGGAGAGTTGTAAAAACACATGCTAACACACAGGAACACAAGCACTCATGACAGTTGATCTCCGCTTTCCTCTACTGCCATGAAGGCCAAGGAGCTCTGGAGTTTGTTTCCTCTCCCTCTCTAGTGGGATTTTCAGGATCATTCTCGTTCGATCCGAGACACTTCCTTCATCCACGGCCACAGCCGAGCGGACGCCATTGTTCTTCTCCTCAGAATAATCCCTCTTTTGGACAAGAGGGCCGTCATTAGGCTAAATCCATTACTAAGACAGAAACTCACACTCAACCCATTAAATAATCCATTTTTTATGGCGAGAGTCCCAGTAATAATGTCTGTTCTGTTGGGTTTGTTCAGTTCGATGCTACATCAACACAATGCGGAGTTCAGAAATGTCTTTGTTTCTCTGAGTTTGCCCAGAGTTTACTCAGAGGTCTCTCTTTGGTCAGAGCCTGTGGGTGGTAAAACAAAAAAATGTCTGATCAATACTGAAAAATTTCAGTCTCAAAACAAGCCAGCAGGGTGGTCTGAGAGCATTTTGTCAGAGCAGCCAAGCAGACATGGAGACATATATAGTAACTAAGAGAATAAGTAGAACAAGTAGTAGCTGCATGCAGTCACAGGATAAGTTAAAGAAATGAAATGAATGGCAAAGATGCTCATTAAAATATTTACTTTCAACTGGTGGCAATGTGACAACGACTGAGGCAAACTGTGAGACACTTATTAGGGTGTCAAGTTTCCAAAGATTGAGTTTGAGAGAGACATGTATAGAACAGGAGAACTATTTCATCTGGGTGTGTAGGAGAGGGATGAGTAGGACAAAGACTGCAGACAAACTCCCGCACACTGTCTGACTTGCTAAAAAAAAAAATAATTTAACTACAACATTTCAGTACTAGACCTACACCAAGCAAAAATGTAGAGATATGAAATGATACTTATTTCCTTTTGATGGAATGGTACAGCTGTGAGAAACATGCAGTTTTGGATTTCCTGGGTTCACTCAGTGAAAACATCATATAGCTTCAATGAAGACTTGGAAGAAGCAGATATAGAAGAATATAGACGCAGAATATATAGATATAGCTTTCAGCTATCAGGCTCCTCTTCTGTGGAACCATCTTTCTGTTTTGGCCCGGGAGGCAGACACCGTCTCCACATTTAAGAGTAGACTTTAGACTTTCCTTCCTGATAAAGCTTATAGTTAAGGCTGGCTCAGGCTTGCCTTGGCTTATTGTAGCTATTATCATTACTGCTTGCCCTGCATCTCTCTTTGTCTTAACCTCTCTTTATGTAGCATTATGTCAAATGGATTACTGCACATTTATTATGTTGATCTGTTCTGTACACGTGACATCTATGCACGTCTGTCCGTCCGTCCTGCAAGAGGGATCCCTCCTCAGTTGCTCTTCCTGAGGTCTCTTCCATTTCTTTTCCCCATTAAAGGGGTTTTTGGAGAGTTTTTCCTTCCTCAGAGGCAAACTGTGATTTGTGTTCCTGGGCTTTCTAAAATAAATTAAAAAAATTAAATAAACTAAAAATAAAATAAACTTAGATAAACTAAACGTATCTAAACTAAAAAAAATTAACTAAAATAAAATAAAAAATAAACTTAACTAAACTAAACTAATCTAAACTAAACTAAAAAAACTAAATTAAAATAAAATGAAATAAAATAAACTTAAACTAAACTAAACTTAGCTAAACTAAACGTATCTAACCTAAACTAAAATAAAATAAAATAAAATAAAGAATAGAATAGATAAATAGAATAGATAAACAGAATAGAATAGAATTGATACCCTTAATTAATCACCCTGAAAATATCAAATAGCCCATAAATTAGGAAACACTAAATCCAAATCCAGCATTATTCATTGTGTATCAACATAAATTGTAATTATTCCCAGAAAGGGACATTTAAAATTAGTGATAGTTTCGTAACTCTCATCTAATGTCAGTCACCAGCAGTCCAACACTACTGAAACTGAGACAGTTTGACCGCACGAAACGCAAGCAAGATATCAAAAAAGTGTCTGGAATAGTTTCAAAATTTGCAAAAATACCCCCCCAAAAAGTCAAGTGCCAGACATGTCAAAGAACACTGGCCTGTCACAGATCTACAAGAAGCTTGGCAAATGAACTGAACACTGTAAGTAACAGCTTAGTCATTCTGCCAAGTAGCTATTATGGCTTCTGTCACTGCAACCTGCACGCTAACAAAGGGACTAATTGTCACATTATTTTAAGCGTATCGACTTCAAAAAAGTCTGACTTGTGCCCTCGTCTCTCACAGAAGAGTCAGAAAAGAGACACAGATGATGACAGAAAAGAAAGACCAACAGTCAGAGACCAAATATATTCAACTTATAATGATATGAAAAAGACAAAAAAGAGCAAATCCTCTCATTTGAGAAACCAAAACTAGCAAATGTTTGACATGTTTGCCTGATGAATGACCAAATTAATTAGTTATCAGAATCATTGTTGATTCGATTAATTGTGTCGACGTTAGTCACCACTGGGATATCATGTTAGAAGGAGGTCAGGGGACTTGCTCCAAGCCAGGCATCACTGTCTCTTTCTCTAACACACACACACACACACACACGCCTAAGAGGCTAAGAGGTCGAGTTTGGGAGAGAGTGACAGAGCGACTGAGGCAACGTGTGACTCACAGACGACAGTCAAGGTCGGCTTTTCGGCAGAATGATCAAAGATTTATAGCCACACCTTGCAGCACTTCTCTTGAACTGCAGGAGCATGCAAAAAGAGGCATGTTTATGAGCACACGGCGGCCCTGCAGGCAGCGCGACATACATCAAACCAGCACAGGGTGGGAGGAGGGGGGAATAAAATGTTGACGACAGAGGTTGACGATTGGATTCTAATTTCACATTCAGCGTTTACAAGGTGTACCTCTCTGCCCCAAAGACGGCCAAACGTGTCAGGTAATGGCATGCTGCAGCTGAAATTGACATGCTGTCAAACTCTGAGAACAGACACACCTTCCTCTTCCTCTCTGCTCCACTTTCAATTTTTATTGAATGCATTCTGTCACACACTGTGATACATGATGGAGAAGGCAGGTGGCTTTCTATAAAAGCAATGCTACTTTGACTACCCTGAATATGTGAACATATCATATCACAATCAAAATGCCACAGCTCCAGGCCAAAGCCATAAAGCAGCGGAGCGATGTGACAGAAACACCACGCGATGCACAATTTGTTGAACCATTTGTGATAATTGATTGCTTCTCACTCATGAAATTACAACAAATGCCGAAACTCCAGGCTGCTGACACGGCTGATCAACATCTGACGGCGTTTCAGCCGTGAAGGTGTACATCTGCACCTCTCCATCCCCACCACCACCTGCACTTTTAATATTCCTCTGGTTGGAGCAAACAGGCGAAGCAGCAGCGAGGAGGTGATCGTCTGTTGAGAATATGTAAGTGAGGAAACGTCAAAATATGTTTTCACATCACTGATCAGACACAACGAGTGTTAAGTATGGCCGAGTGAAGCTGACCGTTTGTGAACTGGAACATTTTAATAATACAGAGAAGATGTCGAGAGAGGAATCCTGATGAGGGGAAATCATAAGCCCTGTCTACAGATATTTTTGAAAACTGATATTTTCCTCCATGTTTTGGCCTCTCGTCTGCACACAGTTTCAGGTCACCAAAATGGAGATTTATTTTTTCAAACGTCTTCAAGGGTGCAGATTTTTCAAAACTCCAGCTACTGTTATATAAGTGTTTGGAAAATGATGAATAAATGATGAGTAATCTCCCCAGTTCACACATGCCCATTGTCGCATTGTGTAATGAGCATAAGCTAGAAACAACAAAAGCAATGGTGGACTAAGTTTTTCCTAACATTTTGTTAGCAGCATTGCTGGGACTAATGACTACTTTAAACTTAAATTCAGTATTGCTGCACCACTTCACAGACAAACAGAGTCTACTGTGCCCGATAATTTTGCTACACCTCAGCGTCCGTGGTTTAAAGTCGGAAGAAAGAACAGTTTTGGATCAGGGCTGGTCAGTGGGACAGAGTGGGATTGGTATGGTGTGAAAGGAGCTTTCACATGAGCATCACTTGTATCTTGGAGTGAGCTCCTTTGTACTTTTATCAAACAGGAATCAGCAGTGATGAGATCTCCAGTAGGTGTTTTGAGAAAGGTAACGCCAGCCTGAACACTTAACTACCACTGTGAAGAGGGAAGATGCTGAGGCAGCTAATGCCAACAAGTGCTTGGAGCCTTTTTGCCGTTTTAGGGTGAACAGAGATATTTTGTAAGATTGAAGGTCATGTGGACAGGATTTTTTTTTTTTTTTAAGTCTCTTCATTGGGTTTTATACGGACAGATAATGTGTCCATTGCAAAGGCAGCAATCTGTATCGCACATAGAGGCAAGATAAGGCAATGTCCAGTTGAGGCAAATGTAGGGAACAAGAAAGTAACAAACAATACAAAAAAATTAAGTGGAAAAAGTATGAAGAAATGAAGAAAAAAAAACTTTGGCAACACAGATGTCACAAAAATAAGGAAATAATGCACCATGGACAGGACCTGACAGAATTATTGTTTAAAAAGGAGGTGAAAAATATCTTTAATAATATGATATTTTCAAAAATATCTATATACATTTAGACAGGGCCATAGATCATTAACAAATAGCAATTTCCACATTTCCATAAACCTTGTGGAGTACAGGCTCATATTAATTAATTTTTATTTTTTATTTATGTCTTTGTTTAGCCTCTTTTATACTGACCTTAGCCCATTTGCATCCTGATTTTTTTTTTCAGCACAAACTCAGCTGTACACTTGACTTATCGATTTGTCAATATAATATATAATTCAAAAAAATGACAAAAAATATATAAAGTACAAAGCCAACAGCAACCCAAAATACAAGGAAAACTAGAATTAGGCTAGCACCTTGTGGTTGTATGCCTATGGATGTTGCTGCAA